GCACCCCATGTGCAAGTATAGCAGTACATTAACATACCAAATTATTCTGTCACATGGTGTCTGAATCTTCTGAAGATTTCTGGTAATTCAAAGAGGGAAATTCAAATCTTGACAATGAATCGGCAACGTTTTTCTTGAAGGAAAGACGTCCTCCAAAAAAAATTATTAAGAATCTTTAAGCAATAATAATGACCAGAAACGAACTTGCTCAACTGCACAGAATTTTCACCAGCTTTGTCAATCTTCGTGATACTCTTCTCTTGATGACTCTAAGAATCAAGAGTTCATTAAGGTCCTAAAATAAGTTTTTTTAAATGTGAATCTTCTTTCTGAAAAAAGGTTGAAATTTTTAAAGTTTTCTTCTTCGAGATGACCTAAATTCTCCCTCGACGAAGAAAAAATCTGTCCAAACAATCTCAATTGTTTTGATGTTTCAGAAGAAAGTGATTAAATTGACTGCGAATTTAAACAAAAATTGGAATTCTATCTCATGTTTTTTTTTTGGAAATAGAAATCAAAGAAAAAATAGTGTCCTTGTAAGCAAATAATTCTCGACTGATACGTTGTTGCTTGTGGATATGATAGCGAAGCTGCGTATTTTCAGACGGGCGTGTCAATTGATTTACGATATTTGGCGTGCATATCTGATGCGGCGTTAGTTTTGCTCCAACGAAGACTTGTTTTCCCAACTCTGATGCCTCCGTTGTTTGTTGGACGAGAGACACTCTGGCGGTCAGATAAAAAAGCGGCAATTTTTCCAAAGCGCATTTTTGTGAGCAAATTCTGCCAGGTTCTTGGGGATATTTTGGTGGAGTGAGGAAAATTCGCACCCACACATCTGACCATATGCTGGCATTTCTGCCCTCTTCTTTGGCAGCTTTCTCAAACTGTGTGTCCATGTGTCAGAAAACCTTCATGTTTGTTCGTATTTTCCTGTAGATTCCGACGAGAATATTATCAATAACTTCTCATTTGTGGCAAAAATTGGAAGACGATCTTTAAAAATTCCTAAGTCAAGTCTTGTTTTCCCATAGACTTACATTATATAATTTTTAATTGGTGCTTTATGAGAGAAATAATCTTCAGAGTTCCATGAAAAAAATTGTTTGCCTCTTGAATTTGAATTAGTGAAAGCATTTTCAACTCAATAAGAACATTTGGAACATTGAATAGTGTATCTCTGTACTGTACGTTGAAATGTTGTCATCTACAAAAATAACATTCAAGTGAAAAAAGTATAAGTCCCTCAATGCTGGAGGTAATTTTTTTAATTTGCTAAATAGATGGTAAATTGGTGAGAGAAATGCGCAAGAACTTTTCTTACATCAATTTTAGGGTTGGAAATAGCTGTTTCTTTTAATTTGGCCTGAAATGTGTTTGCAATTTTATCACAAAATGTCCAGAGGTAAACTATTCAATGCTCCAAATGTTCTTATTGAGTTGAAAATATATTCACTGAATCAAATTCAAGTGGGAAATTTTTTTTATGGAATTCTGAAGAATAATATTTCTTCCGTGAAACACCAATGAAAAATGGAATAATGTAAATCTATGGGAAAAACAAGACTTGACTGAGGGACAATTCAAGTTAGGAACACTTTTGATTCACCAATGATGTTCACATCTGGGGGTCTCACTGTAATTGCTTTGGAAGTCACAATTATAATCCAATGCCAACAAAAGCATTGGAATGTGCTTTTTGTTGGCATTGGTGAATAGTGCATGTGCTTGTTTTATTCTAATTGCAACCTTGGACAAAAATTCAACATTAAACTTTTGTCAAATTTACTCTGACCCATTTTCTGTTACCGGCCAATTTATTGATTTGCTTTTTTTGGGGTATTTTGGTAAAATGTGCAAAGTATAGAAATATTTCACTGTAAATGTTTCGATTAAATGCTTGTTTTTTGTATTTTGGACTCCCTTTCATACCAAAATCGCAGGATTTATGTGGTTTTATGCTGCAATGTTTTTTTGCTCGCTTCAAAGTTAAGAAAACATTTTTATTGGTAAAAATTTCTAGCAGAAGGTTAAAAACGGTGTTTACTCTTCAATAACTATTATAAGAGCAGCCTTAGATGTCCTTTTATGCTTGTTTGTACTTCCAAAAGACTGTGTACCTGTGTGTCAAACTCTTGCAATTACATCTGAATATTGAGGCCCCATTGTAAAGTACCAAACCTTTAGGTAACCCCCAGCATCGGATTCATTCTCTGTCTCTCCCTACAAATTTTCTCGGTCTTGTTTTTGACAGGGAAGTGAATTGGAGTTGAAGAAAGCGGAAATGAGGAATAAGAGTCCATAGGAAACAGAATTCAAATGGAGAACATGAGATCACAGGTCTGCCTTCTGGGTGGGCAAATTAGCACCCGAGTGAGGAGCCGAGGGCATCCGTTTTGAAAAACTTGTGCGGATAGTTTTCTTCCTGTCTCTTTTTCAAATATATACATTTTTTCTTATTCTTATTTTTATGATGTCAATAATCGCAGAAATAACTCGATGGTTATGAGGGAAGAAACAAAAAAGGAGGCAATGTATCTTTTTGAATGTTTAGCCCGCTTTCTTTTCCTTCAATGACATGACATGACGATCTCCACGAACCCAGGAGTTCCAATTCTGGGTCCCGGATGCCGCTGTTTTCCTTGCCCCTGTGTGTGTGAGTCAGATACACACCTTTGACGCAAAAAGGCGGCCTTTTTTTGAGTCCCGAACTCCCGAGGAACCAAGTTGTGTAATTTGGGCATCAGTGTCTCAGCGATGTTTATTTGCAGTACCGTTTGATAACGGATTATGCTTCATTTTTGGTTGTTGGATTAACTGCAATTTTCCGTTTAAATTTCTTCCTTGTGCCAGGTACCTTTGGAAAATCAAATTCTGTGTGCTGTGGTAGAAATCTGAAGAATTCCGACATTTGTAAGTCAGTCATTGTGAAAATCATGTTCGGAAGCGTGCGTGAGTCAGCGACACAAATGAAGAATTTCTCATAAACGCTTCGCACTTTTGAAACAAAATTCCAGCTGAAATTTAAATCTTAAATGAAAAAATAAAGTAAAAACAAGCTTTTACAACTTGGTTATTTAACAAGATTCACGTGAACTCTTTGAAATAGCAAATCAATTACAACCATTTGGATTCGGCGCTCCATAAGAGAATTAAGTGGAAACCCTGTTCTTTCTTTTCAGTCAATTTTTTGAAAAGGGTATCAAAGAGAATTTCCAAGACAGGTTTATGAGTGTCAAAAAGGCTCCTAATTTTATCAACACTTTCCTTTTCCTCACATCAACACATACATTTGGAAGCTAAATGATCACAGAATGAGAACATATACTTTTGTTAACTAATGAAAGGGCAATTCATCAAAATTTGACAATCAGTCAGAGGTTCAGGGAAAAACCTTGATATGAATCATTTTCTGCCAATTTTAGTGATACTATTGCAGTCGAAAGATTATTTTCAAGGCATGAATCAAGGCAAACTTGGGATATTCCGGCTGGACAATTTTACTGAAATCTGAAAGCTTTGGAAGGAAAATAGAAAAGCCGACCAAGTTCCGAATCTATCAAGTGAGGAATCTTTTAAATTCTGCTTTTTGTCGGATAATTGGACAATAATTATTACTGATTTCTTACTTTCACAAAAATAAAAAAATAACCTGAGATATTGAGAAACAAATGTATAACATCTTCCAAGGAATTTAAATATTTTTTTGAAATTCAAAGCTTTGTGCGGAAAATCCTGAATTTGCTCCAGCATCCGCACTCAATTTGTGAACAAAAACAACAACAAAAAACTTGGCAAAGACAGATCTTGTATTGCATTGATATGATGCAAAAGAAGCTTTGCTAGATGTGTGTCGGTCCTTCCTTGTGTTGCTCATGTTCACGGAAAATCTAAATCCGTGCAGTAAAAAGACCTGATTTTTGTGCGCGATAAGTTATCAATGCTGGCCGGGGAATGAAATCGAATGACGTTGTTTGAACTTCGTCGGCCCTTTTTTGGTGGTTTATTTGAGGGACCAACAGTTGCTTTCGGCTCTCTTTGAGGCATCATTGAGACCATGTTCTCGAACTTGAGTTGTAAGCATTGTAAAACACCTGTTTCTGGAATATCAAAAATAGGGAAAAGTTTGTCTAACGCTTCAAAGCCCCGAAAAATTTTTTTTATCCACGTACAGCTTCCTTCGGAAAAATTTTCTCAGACATGCTACTCGTGTTCCCTGGTCATTCAGTCTTACTCAACTTTGTTTCCTGCGAATTGAGCAATAAAATGAAGGCGGTGTTTCTCAATAGAACAGAAGGAAGAAAAATAGTAAAATAACCGAGGACCTCACACGTGCCGAATCTCCATTAAGACCACGATCATGCACCTTAAGTGCGGCTAAACCCCGTACTAACTCAGTGAGTGAGTTTTTTGTGTCGGGAAGCATCTTTGTTTTTCGGGCGCAACCAACTACCGCCGCGGTCCTGATCTATACCGTCGGCCGATGGGAGGAGGGAGGGGGGGAATACTGGAACGCCACGCCCTTCGTTCGCCCAATCACGTCGCAGGAATGAACAGCCTTCATCCCGCCCACTAACGCGGAGCACATATCCACTGTACTTTGGGGACCCTCCTCTTCGCCCACGCGCATCAGCACGCTTTAGCGGTACTGCGGGCCCAGGTCGAGCATCAGTGCGCAGTCAAGTGTGAGCAAATCCGGACAGGGAACCGTGTCCCTGTTGTTGTCGCAGCCAACTATATAGTGAGTGCTGAAGAGGAAGTGCGCATTTAAAAGTTTCGGAATAAGAGAGAGGACTGTTTCGTGCTGAAAATGCAAGCGTATTCTTTGCTGCAAGCGCATCCGGGAAATGGCGCGCAGTCTCCGTTTGCCGCAGTGTTCGAGGCTGGCTTAGAGGTAATTCTGGTGCTAGTACGTGGAATTCACGCCGATTTGGGGCATGATTGAGTCACTCACTCAAAAAACACAGCCCTTCGTAGAAACAAAAAGCCCGCGTTGGTTGATGGCGGCGCCATCTGATCTATACCGTCGGCCGATGGGAGGGGGAATATTGGAACGCCACGCCCCTCGTTCGCCCAATCACGTCGCAGGAATGAACAGCCTTCACCCCGCCCACAAACGCGGAGCACGTATACACTGTACTTGGGGACCCTCCTCTTCGCCCACGCGCATCAGCACGCTTTAGCGGTACTGCCGGCCCAGGTCGAGCATCAGTGCGCAGTCAAGTGTGAGCAAATCCGGACAGGGAACCGTGTCCCTGTTGTTGTCGCAGCCAACTATATAGTGAGTGCTGAAGAGAAAGTGCGCATTTAAAAGTTTCGGAATAAGAGAGAGGACTGTTTCGTGCTGAAAATGCAAGCGTATTCTTTGCTGCAAGCGCATCCGGGAAATGGCGCGCAGTCTCCGTTTGCCGCAGTGTTCGAGGCTAAGTGCGCATTTAAAAGTTTCGGAATAAGAGAGAGGACTGTTTCGTGCTGAAAATGCAAGCGTATTCTTTGCTGCAAGCGCATCCGGGAAATGGCGCGCAGTCTCCGTTTGCCGCAGTGTTCGAGGCCAATAAGAGAGTCAAACTCGCTGAGGATCTGAGTTACGACCGGTTGGCTCCGACCAGTAAATCCGACCGCGAAGGATCCGGATCTCCTGATTTTTATTCCGTCAGCATCAAAATCCCTGAAAATGGTTAGTTTCACGCTTCTTCTCCTCAGGTATCCGTCTTTGTGTATCTCAAAAAATATAAGGGTGCATCCTGTTCATACGAGGAAGTTTATTGTCTTTTGAGAAAATTAATTCACTAATTGTATACCTCGATCACTCGAAGTAATTTTTGGGCATGTTCGTTTGGATATGGAATGGGTTTTAATTATAGATCTTTCGCTGTTCGGCGTGTTGATTCTTCTGAGCGATTAAACGCATGACCTAGGGAATAATTTCGCACTGATTCCTTGGTCCAGTGAACATTCAACTGATTTCTTTCAATTCCCAATGAATAATAATCCATTGTAATATATACCTTCGAGAAACTTTCACCTTTCGGATTAATTTGAAGATTTTTTAAATAATTCAAAACTAGATAGCGGACTTTTTCGCGTTGATCCGTCGCTGCTTCAAGAATTTCCACTTGCTGATTGATACTGTATCATCATAATCATTTTCTTCGAGTGAATCATTTGTTGAATGAGATGGTTCATAATCGATAAATATCTTCGCTTTTGTTTTCTGAGTTTGCGAGATTTTAAAGCATGAATGAAAGCCGTTTTATCGTAGATTTCTCGCTGTATTTTGAAGGATTGAATTGATCCGAATGAATTCCTATGTAAAGCTTTCAACAGATCGGCTATAATTATATGCAGTCTATAAATTTTTGCTTGTTTATGTTCTTATAGTAATTCGCTTCGGTTCGGAAAGAAACGTGAATGTCATCGGCATGGGGTTTTCTTTTCTCTTAAATTTTCTGTCTGAAGTGCTTGTTGATTCGTGTACTGATTTCTGGCTTGGTTCTTAAATTATCCAATTGCAGTAACCAATCATTCAATTACAGTTTTACGATTAATTAATCCCTTAACACCTTGATACCGAGATCAATAGAATCGCATTATACACAGTTGAAAAGTAATGCAATGCTCCAGTGCTTATACGTTTTTGAATTGATTGCGTTTTTTTTAGAATCGATTCACAGTCCGAATAATTAAATCATTCAATATATTTGAAATATAGAATTGTCTCCTGGTGGACGGCATTCACCGGGTTCGGACACAATGAATTCAAACCCTGGGCATCAAAATCAGGGAAATCCGAATGACCCGAACCTTCGTCGGTATCGAACAGCGTTCACTCGAGACCAGATTGGGCGATTAGAAAAGGAATTTGTCAAAGAAAACTACATCAGTCGACCACGGCGATGCGAATTGGCAAATGAACTCAATTTGCCCGAATCTACTATCAAGGTGAGAATCTTGAGATATATTTCTTAGGATGCGTCATGTTCTCGATTGTCCATTTTCCGGCGCGGAAAATTGAATCGAGACCCAGGGAAAAGAGATTTCCATGATCTGAATTGAACGCATTTTCTTGTGAATATTTTTGCAAAATGTGGTCACGACTTTTGCTTAATTAAGGGATGTCTTCAAAACACCCTTTCTGCTGAAACACATGAACCCTTTGTAAGCCTTTACAACCCAGTTTTCCAAGTAAGAAACGAATTCTACAAACAACAAAGTCGTTAGTGTCAACAAGAAAGCAAGTTCGAGGGGCGTAAAGAAAAATCACCTTCGGCTTCGTGTCCGCGCAACTCGTTAAAGACAGTTCTTATCTTTACAACCTCGCTGTTTCACTTTGCCCATGACGGCGACAATAACGTTGTTGAACGCGCAAAAACGTATTTGCTCGAGTTTCTGCACACAAGTTTTTTTCTTATTTGTTCTTGGCTTTTAAACTATGCAAATACGAGACTTTTTCCTTTTCGCTCGCGCGGCCGAGAGGTTGAGGAGCGAGGGTGATGAATTATACCTTCTACGAGAGATCTTTCGGTTGATGGAAGCTGTTGTTTCTTTTTTTCGGACCCCTTTGAACTTCTCGCCGCGAAGCAAATTAGCGGCTAATTAATTACAGGGCGGTGATGCATGAGTAATTGACTTGGCCCGAAGATTCGATTGATTCCGTTGTTTGACAAGGCTGATGATTCTTGTCGAAATTGATTTTTCTTCGGGTCCACAGACATGGATGTCAACAGTCTCACAACGGTGGAAAATTCTGAGCCCATTTTCCGACGTACTGTAGTTCTAATTTTAGCTGAGTTTTGTTCTTTTCCTGGGAGATTCAGAAAATTATCGTTTTTTTTTTTTGAGTGATGTCGGATGCAGTGGGATTTTGAGATATTTGTTGAAAAAGGTCAAAGTGCAATTGCAGGACCCACTTTGATTTCATCCAGTTTTACCAAAAACTTGGAATTTTGTTGATTAAATTTATTGGATAAGTTCAGGAAAGATGTTTCACGTCATTAATCCCTCGAATTCAAAAATATTGCAGAAAAATAACCTTCGACAAAGGCCTTGTTTGCTATTTTCATTTGCCCAAGGAGGTACATTCGCCTTCATTTTTTATGGAAAAAAAATCGTTAGCTGATGTTTCTAATCTGCAGAATTCTCTCGCGGAGAATCTCCTTTTCCCACGAATATTAATGGCTAATCGCGTATAAAGGAAGAAATCGCGCAGACTTATTGTGGGATGTACATGATGACCCCTGCAGAATCGGATGATTTGAGATGATGCTCTCAGTCAGTAAGGTTTCAGGCCACAAAGGATAAGATCGTCTTTCGCATTAGTTTTTCGTCGCGACAAGAGAGAATCCGGACAAAGTTAATCCCCCATTATTTTTTTCTCAAGCGAAGATGCGACCGTGACTGTCTGTGATTCCCACGCTGTTCTGTTGTGGGCGGATTTCTAACATTTTTCTCCATGTTTTTTTCTTTTCCCCTCCCGTTTTGTTCTTGCGGGCTATTCAATCGGCGCCGCCGTGATTCGTTTCGCGGGTTTGCGACAAATATGACGGCCCCCTCTTATGGGCCGGCCCATCAATCATGCTACTCCATCAGTCAAATTTCAACACGGATGCCCCCCTTGGTGTTGACATTTGGCGGTGAGCGAGACGAGATTTGTTTCGCGGGGCTTCTGTTTGCAACGAACGGCATTTCTTCGAAATGAGGGGTTTTTATGGAACGCTTCATTTTTTTTTTTCAATCCAGCGTTTACTGGGTTGACCTTTCTTGATCTAGATCAAGGTGAAGGGGAATTTCTGGTTGAGAAACGCTTTGTGACCCCAAATGAAAAATCTTGGGTATACATGGCAGGAATAGGAGCTTGAAAATCTTTCCGTTTAATGCCGAAGAGACCCCTTTTCAAGTGTTTCAAATGCCTTAGAAGTGCGTGGTTGGTCCAGGGATTGCTCCAAAGTCATCAACTAAACAATTGGATAGATAGCTGGCTAAATAGTCTCCGAATTCCGACCATTGATTGGCTGGCGCATTGGTCTACGTGATTCTTCCAAAACCTATCAATACAGTTTTGACAATGTGTATCATATTAGTTGATCATGGTTTTTTCTTCTTCTTCCGCTTCTCTGCATAATTGGTTCGTGAACTTTTCATTTTTGAAATACGATGCATACCCTGCTTGCTGTGATATATAGAGATACCGTCGGAAATAAGACACCGACTGCTTCACACCCAGTTTGTTCAGAGGCGAAGAGGAATTTTCTTGATTGAATTAGTGTATTACATCAGTGAAAAAAATTCCGGGTCTTTTGTCATTTATTTAAAATCGGTTATTAAAATTTTGTTTTGAAAAGACGATTGCCTTGATACCGAGAAATCATATACCTCTAGTGAGAAAGGGAAACGGACAATCCCCCCGATTCTAATCCCCCCACCTCCATTCCCCCTGCTCTAGGGTGTAGTCCGAAAGCCCCCCCGCCAAAAACCCCCCCTAGGTCAAAAGCCCCCCCCCCTGCCTAAAGCCCCCCTAGGTCAAAAGCCCCCCCTGCCAAAAGCCCCCCCCCCTATGTTAAAAAATAGGGGATTACAGGTATTCTTATAACTCTTGATAGTAAGCTGCACCTTTCACCAGCAGGCCCAGCACAAGGCCAAGTACCACTATGTTTGTAAGTTGAGTATATAAA